GAAGTAGACTGGGTCTTGCGTCTCGTCAAATTCGATGGACTGTACCAGCGGGGTTTGCTGGCTGATGTCCATGGAGCTATCGATGCCCAAAGGCGGCGTCGGGACGCGGGAGGACGGATTGAGGAGGCTCTGCTCAGCGTATTGAATGGACGAGGCTCGAGACCTGTCTTGCGCGGCGTCCTCTGAGTCTTGCGAGTCCGTATCGGACTGGTTGGTCATATCCTCTGTATGTTCAGTGCCAGCGAGGCTGTGGACGTCGTCGGGGCGGGCATAGTCAAAAGAGCTCAACGACTCAGCTTCGGTGCCACGGCCGTCCTGGCTCTCGTCGTCAGTGTTGATAAATTCGTATGTGCTCTCGGACAGTGCCACGACATCTTCGGGTGCTTCTGATGGAGTCATGATGTCGGGTTCGCTGGATGAAATCCAGCTAGCCAGTTGTCGGTTTCCTTGTGGTCGGGGGAACCTCAAAGTCAGCTCGGAAGATGACAAGGTTGTCGACGCTGCCGGGCTGTGGGTAGATGTGTCGACGTCCGTGGTAGAATCGGCGCTGTGCTGCTCTTCCATACCGAGATAACAAGGGTTAGCCTTTTGTGTTATCCCGTCATGCCTCGGGAAGTCTGGGAGCTGGAAGAAATGGGATATGCTCGACAGTCGGCGGCTGTATGTGGTGGAAGGAATTAACGGAGTGGTTGAGGTGGTTGTGGCGGTGGTGGGAGGATGGAGGGGTAAAGCGGGATATGAAGCAGGTCACGCTCGTGAGCTGACACAACGGACGGCGGTTGAGGGGCGTGGAGGGGTTGCTTTTTCTTCGGGACAAACGACCTGATCCAAGAAGTTGAACATCTAGGTAGCAAAGACGATTCGGGGATGTAGAGAGAGAAAAAAGAGATTCAACTAACTCTGGCCGGGCCTTTGGGATGTGTAGGAGGATTGTGAGGTGGTGGCGGGAGGTGAAGTAAGGTAGATGGGTACTCAGGTAAAGGTAGGTAAGGTAGGGTGCGTCGTCAAGGTCGGTCGGCGGCAGGTGTTGCCTGTACGGTGTACCTGCCTGTCTGCCTGGCCTGCCTTGCCCAGCTTACCGAGAAGGTGCTCGCTGCTGCGTGCTTGCCAGCTGGTATTGCCTTGCGGAACGAAATGGCCGACGCGGGGTGGGGAAATGGCAAGGGACTGGAAGGGACAGGATGAGATGGGACGAGAAGGCGGTCGGTTTATCGGAGGTGACTACCTTACCTTGGGTATGACTTGGGGATGTCACGCGGCTGCCGCTATCGAGAAGTTGCGACAAAGATAAGGAACAAGGGTACAGTCTGCTAACCTGATGGCGTTGCTCACGTTTGGTCCTAGCCGTCAAAGCGTCAGCAGGCCAGGGTTTGGATTTGGGGGTTTCGTTCCGATATTGGTCGTTCCGGAAGGGAAGTTGAGTGCCCTGCGAAGAATACTGAATAGAAGACGATGGGAAGTGAAGGAAGGAGAGATGTGGTGGAGGAATATGACAGTTTGTATCGGGATGGATGGATGGATGGATGGATGGATGCACCTCAAGGGTGGTGGGTGGTGCGGAGAGGAGAGAGACATTCAGGTCGGGCGCACCATCAAAAAGGCAGAAAGGCAGCTGAAAAGGCAACGGGACGGCAGTCGAGACACGACCAGGCGGTCCAGAAGGTACCTACCTACCTTCCTTCCTTCCTTCCTTTACCGGACCTCATATCCTGCCTCACCATCCGCAGTTTTGGAGCAGGCAGGTGGCACCAAGTCAGAATAGCACGAAATAGCAAGAACTGTCAAGCGCCAAAGCTGAGATAAGTGCACAATTCCATACCTAAGGCACCTTACCTACTTAGTACTCGTGCAAAGTACCCTAGCAGTCATATCATCTTAACAGCCGTCGGCCAGACGCATCTCATGTGCTCTTTGGAGGTGGGGGCGGGGTCCATTTCGCGACCGAGTAAAGGCGCAACATATGGCGTTCATTTCACCTTGAAGGGCCACATCTGGCATTTTCAAAGCCGAGTATGCGTCACTCGCTCCGGGGCCTGGATACCTCGCGTTCAAATGGAATGTCACTGGCAACTGCCCCCCGCCCACTTTGATTGCAGCTCGTCACAGCCTGGGTAAGCAGATACGCATCATTGTACCTCTTATCGATAACAAGCCGGGGGAAATCGGTGCCAGCTGCAACTTGCACCACGCACCCCGCACCGCTGCGACCTGCCATGGTGGGGTTCCTTATCCACTAGCCCACCATCACCCCGCCTGTGAACCGCTGTTGGTGCCAACAGCCTTGGGTTAGCTCCAACCCCTACGGGCCTCGAGTGGCATCTCGACGGAGGAAGATCCGCTCACTCCCAACATCACCTCTTAGCTTCCTTTTCAACTTGGATCGGGTTCCATTTGGGCTTCACTTGGGCCGAACTCCTTCATTCTTCTATGGGAATATTCACCCGTCATCTTCAAGACCTTCCCAGGGCACTTGTTGTAGGCACATCTTCCAGGCTGCCGCTTCAGGCGCAAAGTCTGGAAGTGAACCACTCATCGTCCCCTCGCACAGGCTGAAGCAAGGTACCAACCTAAATGTCCAAGTCATCCAATGTGGAAAGCTCAAGTGACTACCGCCCGCTTGCGGCATAGGAAAAGACCAACAGGTTCGCCACGCACCACGATCACGACGCCTCCCCATGAATTTCACAAAAGACTGCGCAAGTATATCCAACCATGGCTCAGCGCGGGAGGGAAGAAAGGTACAATTTCGACCCTAGGTTGTGTGAGGCCCGCATGTCTTCCGAATGTTTCACCTTTTTGCCGTCTTTCCTGTCTCTGAGAATCCCATGTTTTAGCCGAAGAAAAGGGTGTGTGGCTTCAATACCATTTGATTGTGGCTCATGTGTCAAGTGGCGGTGCAACTTCCATTCTCAGCTCACCTCAGCTGGACTGACACCTCTTCCATGTTAACAAACAGCCAAGATATCGTTGGAACATCTTCATGCGATAATGCAAGAGATTTCTGTTTATGGAATGTACCCATCGAAAAATTACACAATTGAGCCAAGATACATTCGAAGATAGGTTACTTGTTGGAGTTGGCATTCAGTAGGGCAATATACCTTGATAGCGAGAAAGGTTATGTGCTTTCGACTTCATCGTCATTTTGACCAACACCGTATCGTAGAGACAGGCCTTACCCAGAGAACCTCGCTTATTTCAGTTCTCTTACAATTCTAAAACTTCATCCCTCGTTATGACGGCTCAATATTGCAGCGTCTCTCGTGGACATTCGAACCCCCGTTGTGAAAATAAGCTTGCAATCATTGCATCACTCAAGCCTGTCCTTCGCCGGCACACCAACGTCTACACCTCGCATTGAGGAATAGATAATGCGCTCCTTTTCAAGTCGATGGACTTGGGAGAGCTCTGGGTTGGAGATTGCTGTACCAGAGGCTTTGCGCTATCTCTAGCCAAGTGGTCTGGCATTTCAAGAATGCCATTCCGGAGTTCGCGATAGACAAAACACAGACGTGACGTTGCAGATACCCAATTTGACGACACTTCAGCGCCAGACAGGAAATCGTATCAAATCACCTCAAGAAAGCCAGTCCCAACCCGGCCAACCACGCAAGGGAATTTATACACCCACCCGATTGCACACATCTATACACGGTCGGTAGGTGCTCGAAATACGTTCCTCAACTCAAGGGTGTGAAAAATGTCAAAAGGCAAGATGCAAAGAATGCAAAAAGAAGCAAGCAGTTTTGAACTCGAAACTTGTACAACCCGAAAATACTCTTCACCTGAAGCAAAAAAGAGCAAACAGGGCCTCTCTCTCGGAACAGAAAACCAGCCACTCCAACAACCCCAGCCCCAGCTCCAGCCCCAGCCCACCCCTTTCCCCGGGCCGGAACACGTTGCCGGAATTTTCGTTCCCTGGGCTCAGTGGTTTCTGGTTCCTATGAAACAACAGAGCTGGACAGGGGGCGGTCAACCATCAACGGGAGAAGACGGCACAAGAAGGAGGCAGAGAACTGAGACTTTAGAGAATCGAGAATTTGTTACTATCCCTATTGTAGCCCCAGGATTAGTAACAAATTGCAACCTCACTCCTATTCTTCCTTGTCTTTACCCCCTGCTTTTGCTGGAGACCACGCAAGACACACAGACGACGGGAACCGCAGAGGCGAGAGAAAAACAAAAGGCTGCATTTCTTGGTTTCCTTTGCTGACGAAATCTTAGAAACGCTCTGTTTGGACCCATGTCTCTGTATCCGTATCCGGTACTGGATCCAAATCCTCCCGCAATCTGCCTCGAAATCTCGCAAAGTCCCGAAGCAGAAAATCCACCGAGAGCCTTGTCCTTGTACTTGTCACCCCCTCCTCCAGCCCTAGGAGGCTGTTATCATTGAATTCGTTACCTTCATTGACGGTTTGGTGTCGAGGGGTACTACGTGTATCCAAGGGTAAGGCAACCGCAACCCTTAAAACGACATATATGCAATGTAACCTCTCATTTACCGACATCAATGCAATCATGAGCAGTACGTCCACATTGTTTGTGTAAAATCGTTGGACAGAGTCCGCGTGGACCTGTGAATTCTACAGGGAATCGGTAAAAGTTGGGAACCCAGCCTACAATCCTTAGATGCTTTTGCAGCGTAATTTTGCATTTTCATCTTCCCAAACCCGCAGCCGGTACGTTTCTTGCATAGCAACCGACATCTCGGGCATGAACCTCCCCTCATCATTACAGAAACAAGAAAACCCCGAAGAAAAGACCAATGGTGTATCAACGTCTTCCCCCAAAGTGACGACAATATCCCAGAGAAAACTCCGCTCCACAACCCAAAAGTCCTGGTGAGATAGGAGAACCGAATGCGCAATGAAAATGGTGTAGAAAAAAAGGGAACCGTTATGCTCGCGGAAGAGAACGCGCTGCAAAATGGGGGTATCGTAACAGAGGAGATGAGGTTGTTTTTTTGCGCATGTTGAGTGCTATTTGTGACCGTGTTTGCATCATAGGATGTCGTGCTTCTGGAAAAGCCGTGCCAGCGTGTCGGTACCAAACATTTCGTCGTCCGGGATCATTTCAATGATGCCTGTGAGGTTGGCAATCATGTCACCCTGGTTGCGGTACGCCAAAATCGCAGGCACAGCGGCGTTGTCGAACTCAATGTCAAGATAGTGTACCTTGACAAAGTGTATTGTTGAGTGCTGCGATACAAGAGGCATCATGGCATGCTCTATTGTCGCAGAAACGTCACACTAGAAATCTCGTTAGGACTCAAAACTTGGGAATGATAGTCTCGACGGAGCTCACCTCTGGGTCATAGACGAAGACGACAACAACAGTGTCCCGCGCAACCTTCTCGATGGCATCGAGGTAGCCCAAGGCATCAACCTCATCCAGACGTCCGTAAATTCGCACACTAGGACTTGTTCTCCGGTTCCGAATAACCTTGTTGGAGTCGCTCTCGAGTTCTCTTCGGCGGCTCTCGCGCCATTGCTGCATGAAACTGTCGTCAGAGTCGCTGCCGTTGCCCTCATCCGTCTCGCTTTCGCTCTTGTTTGATGGTGGCGGCTGGGAGTTGATGTTGTCGAGGCCGAAGATGGAGCGCCTCACTGTAGTGCGCGCGCGGCTCATGAAAGAAGTCTTGCGAGCGTTCTCGTAGTTGCGAGCATCGGCGATGACGCCCTTAACACCAGTGGTACGACCGGCATCGAAGCTAGCTGGAGGCAGCTTCAGGTCGGAGCCGGTCTGACCAAGAGATGGCATACGCATGGCGGCGTCGATTTGGGAGTTGCGATATCTCTCTTCCTCGTCGAGGTCAAGGCTGTCCTGTTCGCGACGGTCGTGGTCTCGGTCTTCGGGATGTACTTTGCTGGTGTCACGGGAGTTTGCTGCTAGCAGAGCATTGAATTCTTCCTGGGCTGGTGTAGGGTTCGACATCTTGAAGGTCGTGTGGCGCGGTCGGGGAGGGGGAGCTTGGTTTATGTATAGGACAAGGAGCGGAGGAGCGGGTGGGCGTGTGGTCAGAGAAGGAGGTTGTCGTCCAGGGTGTTGTTAAGACGGAGTAAACAAGCAGGTTGTGAAGAGTTGGCAATCGTGCGACGTTGAGCTTGGAAGGGTGTGCCCGGTTGTTCTGTCAGGGCGTCTACTTGGTAGTCGAGCAAGCAAAGTGACTTGTTCGGACAAGGACAGGATGGGTAGCGCAAATGGTGGTGGTGGGAGAGTCTGGAGAGGAGAGGACGGGCGGACGGTGGGAGGCGAAGCAGAGACGACTGGGAGTTGGATGGAAAGGATGGAGGCCCTTCGATGGGATTTTCTCGAAGCAGTGGAGTCGAAGCCAGGGGTCAACCCTTGCGTGGACCACGATGCGGTGAAAGCCGGGCCCCAGTGGTGTACGGAGTAGTGGATAGTCGAGAGTCAACAGACTGGCGCGATGCGTGAGTGGTGCGAGATGTGCGCAAAAGGGCAAAAGGGGGGGCTCGAGGGTCGAGGATCGAGGGTCGAGGTGGAAGCCCCTGGGGTGCGTCAGGCTGTTTCAGAAGCGGCGGAGGCGCGTGGTTGCGAACAGGGGAGACTGGACGGCAAAGTGTGGATGAATGGCAGAAGGTGAGGCCTTTGGCTACTGGCATTCGTGGGTTGTTAACTTGTTCGGGGGTATAGGGGGTTTAGTGACGGGTCCAGGTGAGATCTGGTTGCGGTAAGAGGCATGTAGTCCGCGATGTTAAGACGAGGATGCGGGAGTTGATGATCGTTTGCGGGCGCAAAGACGCTGGAACGCTGGCACGGCAAGACCGGACAATTTCTTTCCAGCCCTGTAACTTGTGCTTGATTGAGCTGCCCACCCCCGTCCAGTCCCCGATTTCCGATGTCGATGATTGTGGGCGAGTCAACTTTTTGCAAGGACACGAATGCCGAACTGGGACGTGCAGATGACGGAACAGAGAGGCCAGCCACGATGGTGTCGTCACGCATGAGGATACCGGCGACGTGGAGGGAAGGGGGCAGAAAGGAAAAGTGGAGAATGTGTGTGTACATTTAACAGTACCTTACGGATACCTACGCAGGAGTACTTCGTAACACAGTAAATTGTATGGAGGAAGGTGCCAGTCAGTCACCAATTGCCAGTGCAGGGCAGGCAGGACAGGCAGGACAGGCAGGGCAAGGAAAGAAGGGAGGCGGCTGTGAAAGAGAACCAAGCACACAAGGTACGAATGCAACCTTCCTTAAGGTACTCCGCAAATGAAAATAAATGCAAGTACCTGATCCAAATGCAACTGCAGCGGCGACTCTTCCTGTCTGTCTGGCGTCTGCATATCTCTTCCAATGAAAAATAAAGTTAGGGTAGTCTAGAATGGAAAGTTGGGCAAATTACCTCCATTTCCCTTTTCACAAACCAACGGTCAACGCGCAAACCTTCAGTGCAGCCCAAAATAAAAGATAAGAAAAAAAAAACATTCCTTTTTCCGCCGTCTCTAACTAACCGTCAATCAGGCTACTTTGCTTACCTTACCCCAAGGTACGGACCTGTTACCGTCGAAAAGGGGCCGGATCGATCAGACTACTTACTACGTACTACCTAAGGTGCTCCGTACACAGCATTATTACGGAGCAGAGAGAGAAGGGGTCAAGAACCGCAACATCCGTTCTCCATCGCAGCACCACACCATCTTGCTTTTCCTCTGCCCGCGTGGCTTTGCTGGGATCATGGTGCTTGTCAGCATCATTCGACCCATCCACTCCATCTCTGCCCATTTTCTCTCCTTTTTGCAACGTCGTCACTTCACGCTTGTCCAATCAATGCAAACCACTACGAGAGGTGGGGGACAATTCGGGACCTTGCAGATAGGATGCACGCTGCACGTCGATGAGTTGGCTGAGCCGCTTTCTACTATAATCTTTCTTCATTTGTTATTGCTGTGAATTACACCCGCTCCCCGCCGGCCCGTTGGAGACATCACGCAGTTGACCTTTTGCTCCGACTCTCGAGCAATAGACCGGCCGGTGGCGAGGAACTTAGAAAAGGCGCCGAAGCCACGCCAAGACTTCCAAAGTTGGCGATCGCGATGAAGAAAACAAACACGGCTACCTATTATGTCTCGTATGTCTCGTGTTGGGCCGTCTGTGGGTTGACTGGTTGGCCCCAAATTTGGCTCACCGCACGCTACGTGCCAGCCGTGATTGGGAAGACGCTTCGCAATTGACTTCTCTCCAGTGTTCTCGAAATGGCGAGGACCTCGTACCACCTCGCAAATCATTATACAAGTCCTCCAGAAGGCTGCCTCGACTTAGGACCATTGGCCACCAGCTTCCGCTTCTTCAGGGTCCTCGGAACAGTCTCTTTCGCTTTCCTCTCTCCACCTTACTCAAGGCGCTTCAATTTGCAACTACGCCTGTGCTCGCATTTCTAACCCTCCTGCCTCAGACATCATGTCTCATTCCGGCTAGTACGAGTCGTTGCGCCTTACCGGCCAGTGCGGGAGGACCCTGCATCGGAGATGGTGCTGCAACTGGCAATTATTTGTGGTAGAGAAGGGGATTGATACCGCAGGGCAGCGACGTTCCTTGCTCTGGTGCCTATTCGCGAGTGTCTCGCATCAAGTGCGTCTTCAAATTCCAGACACAATGTCTCACGCCCAACTTCTTCACCGCGGCTCCAAGACACCGACTCTATCCGTCGTCGGCCCAGCCGAATCGCAAACCCGCCGTCAAAGACCGAGCCCAGGCTTACTGCGTCAAAGAGACAATGGCAGTTCGCTGTGCGTTGCTGAGAGAGATACGCGGATAGTCTCAGCAGAAGACCTTGCCAGACTAGGCCCCTCCATTGGTTGCCTAATAGTTACACCATGATCCTCATCAAGCTCCCCATAGGAGGGTATAGATACACGCACATCTCCTTTAGCGCCTGAAGCAAACATGGACTGCTTGAGACGGTCAGAAACCACTTCACCGGGGAAGATGCCTAACTGACCCGGTAAAAGATCACGACGCCATCATCCCACTATGCGATGACATTGTTCACCCTTCATCATCCCCTTTGCCAAAACATAAGGACCCCGAAACAGCGCACAGCAGTCTCGCCATCAGCTCCAGAGATCTCTAACAATGACATGCGCTTATCGTCATATTTTGCCCAGTTTGGTCGTCCGAAAGTCCCCGTTTGCCTTCGTTCCCTGCCTGGTCTGCTTAGATCTTTGGTCGAGACTTGGCCACGGCGTCGTGTGACCGCACTTATCGGTGCTCCCCAGTCAATGCGGACGGAGGCTTGAGACGAGCGGACTTTTTTGTCCACTGCACATGATTATCGACTTCTCGATGACAGGTCTCTCACTCCACTTAGATCGGCACATTGGCCGATTCATCTCGACTTGAGCGTACGGATTAGCCATCATCCATGGTCTTTGATGGTCATGGACGGCGTTCTCTGTATCCTTTGCTATGTTCCCAGGACGTTCGGTTCATAGCACTACTATTACCAACGACGTGCTAACTCAAGTTGTCATGATCATTGACTAATCCGCAGCTGGCAACGTTCAGTCTCAAGTAACAACTATGGGTCTTCATGCCACGCATGGCATGACTTTCCAGATTCGCATGAAGAGGCATCACGACGTGTTCAAACATGAGTCACCTTCTCCGCCCCGGACACGCCGTTTCATGCCTTACGACAGACATTTTGTGGACACGATGTCGCGCGTGGTCGACCCAGAACCACGGCTCCCGATGCTGCTCGTGCGTTGCTGACTTATCATCCGATTCTATCTCCAAGAGACCAAGACTCCATTCATCCACCTCGGAACACGACTCAATGACGGCAGCTCACTCCGCAAGTCAAACTTTTTAGCGTACCATTCACCATTGGTAGTACACCTTAGCGGAAATCTATGCAAAACAATCACCGAAAGCGATTTCACTCGTCACAAGACCCGACAGGGGCTATGTGCATTCTGACGAGATGCATATTCGTTCTGGATACACGCGCGGGTTTCATGCGTTTGTTTCACAGAATACATCTATGTTCAATAATTAAAACATCCTGGGCTTGTAGCCAAGGAGATTCCTTGTCCAGGGCTGGTCTCGTCCACTTCAGTTCGTTGCCACAAACAAACATTGCTGGCAGTGCTGCATCGAAGCTGGGCGTTCTCACAACAAGTTATGCGATACTCATGTTGTCCATACATCAAGCGAAGCGTCTTGCAGCCGGTCCGTTTACTCGTGTCTTTCTCAATAACTCTCAGACTCCAAACTTGGCTTTTGCGCCTCGCCACACCGCCAGCTGCACGCTGCCGGCACTATGCCGCTGCACATGCTCTAGTCGTTATCCGATCACAGTGACCTGACATCTGCATATGCTCTGATCACGAGAAGGGCGGAAAACTCGAGGGATGAGCGTTGACTGTATCAGACTCTGCCAGCGACACGTATAGTTCTGTCAAACACGTTGCCTCCTCCTCCGCTCATGCGGTATGCATCCCACCGGGTTTAATGAAGATCGACCGAGGCACCGAAAGGTATCATCCAAAACACCAGTGCGGGCCGACGGTGGCCACTCGATACACACTACGGATACACAGTAGGCATCGAAGTGCTCTATCTACGCATACCTCGTGGCTACCAGGATCTCTGCATCCGCAAGCGCATCGAGATTTCCAAGTATAACTCAAACATAGGGCCTCAGCCACCAAATCCTTCTTCCTCGCCCTTCTCTTCCTCCCTTCCCCGGGTCCGTCCCTAGCTGCTCTTTTACTAACTGCTTTTGCAGTAGCCGGGAGCCGCTACAGATTGTAGCCTCAACGATCTTCAACGCCCGCAGCCGGACATATGCAACCCATCTAGGTGGTATATTTCCCACCGCATGCTTCTGCATTTTGGGCGTTTCTCCTGCGATCCTCATCGTCTGTGCTGGAAATGATCTCGGTTCCAAAGTTTCCAAAACCCATCGC